TAATATATTGCTCATATATTTTTATATCTAAAAGTTGATATTAAATTTATAACAAAACACATGACATAAATTGGTAAGACTAACAAAATATTTATGAGTTTTTGGAAAGAGAACCGAAAGAGCAGCATCCAATTACAAATTTTTTAGGTTTGTACTAGAACTTTTCTACAAAGAATACCGTCATAACAAAATATTTCAGATATCATCAATTGATAGCAATCAAATTATAGAGAAGGAATAAACATACCAATAATACATTGGTATGATTTTTATATTTATAAAAGCTAACAACAAATTTACAACAGAGCACATGATATAAATTGGTAAAACTAACAAAATATCTCTCTCCAAGAACTAAAGAGTTTTTGGAAGGAGAACCAAAACAGTTACATCAAATTACAATTTTTTTGAGAACCAAAACAGTAACATCAAATTACAATTTTTTTAGGTTTATGCAACACTTTTTCTCAAAAGGGCAATATCCAAATAATCTCTAAATATCACATATTCTCAGCATCACAAAAATTTTAGGTTTAAGCAAGACCTCTTATCAAAACAACGACATCTAATACATTCTTAAGTGTTTTTTCCTTCTTGGGTATCTATAATTTTCCCAGTAAAAAAAATAAAAAAATTGAACATTACGGCATTTAACGAAAGTTTTTGGATATACTAACAATTTAGGTTATCTTTTTGGTTATCCATCTTTTTAGTTATCTTTTTAAAAACCAAAAAAATTGGAGATACCCAAGTCTTCTTAAAACTATAAAACATTGATTTCAAAATTCGATTTCAAAGGGAAAGAGAGATGGGAAGGTTCTTGATACTACGATTTTTAGAAAGAGAATTTAGTATACCCAAAGTTTCTAAAAAACCAAAAAATTTGGGTTCCCTTAACATGTGCTTGATATGGGAAGTAAAATAACAACTTGGTTCACAGAGAACCAAAATTCGATTTTACACACAAAGAGGGAGATGGGAAGGTCCTTGATATCATGGTTTCTACAAAGAACTGGGAAGGTCCTTGATATCATGGTTTCTACAAAGAAACTGGAGGAATCAATGCATAAGGGCCAGTTTGGATTACGGCCAAATTTGCCTAAAAACGTGAGAGAAAAAAATTTGAATTTGCTCAAAGTTTTTTTAGGTTTCTCTTCATGCTTTTCCCCAAGCCTTCCCGCTCGAACTTTGGTTATCTCCTAGCATTTCTATGGGGTTGCTGGAGGGCGGTTGTACTCCTAGATTTCCTTCGCTTACTCTCTTTAGAAATTCAGGGTCGACGAGGTTACTAGAGAGCGGTTGTACTTCTAGATTTCATTCTCTTACTCTCTAGAAATTCAGAGTTTTGATCGATATCTCTCTCTTTCTCTCTAGAAATTCAGGGTTTTGCTCAAATATCTCTAGGAATCATTCAGGTTACTCTTAGATTATTCAGGGTTTTGCTCGATATCTCTAGGAACCGTTCGGGTCTTGAGGAGAGTGGAGTTTTTCTAACATATAGTGGTTTTGCACATGGAGATGTTTTATGAACTCAAAACATTTTTACAAACTCAAAACATTTACAGAGGAAGGTTGGTAAGAACATCTCACCTCTTTTATACATCCATCAAGTTACTCTCTCGCTAATAATACTATTGAACTTCTCCTTGCTCTTGCTTTCTGGGTTCTTCTCAGGGTTCTTCTCATTTTTTCTGTCTCTTCCATTGGCTTTTTGGGTTATTCTCATTCTCTCTGTCTCCTACATTCTCTCTGTCTCCTACATTTATAGGAATAAACTCAATCAAAAGAGGGAAGAATCAATATAATTAAATTATGAAATTGTGTAAATTGGGTTTGGGATTTCATATCAATTTCTTTAAAATTTCATATTTCGATTCATTTTTCTGCCGTTAAAACTTTTTTATGCGATGAGAAAAATAAAAGAAAAATACAAATTTAGAATTTATTGCAACGCATCCAAACATACATATCTGACAAATAAAATTTTCTTCTCATATTTTAATAGACATCCAAACAGTCTACCAACATAATAAAATAAAACGATAATGTTTCTCAATTGAGGAGAAAAAAAATTGTATTTTTTTAATGTGAATATTTTTTTCTTTGACATCCAAACTGGACTTAAATAATTAGGGTTTTAAGATAAATAATTAGGGTTTTAAGATAAAGAGTATGATGCTCTGTATTCAAAGAAATCAAAAGATTAAAATGTTAGGGTTTTTAGAAAACATACCTTATGTATCTAGAAATGTATCGTGCTTGAGAGGCTTGAGAAGGAAAATGGGTGAGGAGCATAGTCGATTTGGAGAGAAAGGGTTGCGATTGAGAGGCTTTACAATATATTTGCGGTTTGGTGAGTGGTCTTTTTTTTTAAATGTTGAGTAAGTAATCATATTAATATAAGGAGATAAACTAACATTACAATTACAAAAGACGAAAACTAAGGTGAGAAACCCTACTTCAAAGCAAGATCAAACAAAACTACTAAGGCACAACAATATCTGAGGGGTCGTTTAGGTACCTAAAAATGTATTGCCTGTGAAATACATTACTGTCGTAATACATTACTGGCAAAAAAAATTACTTGAAAATAGATTGTTCTTGTTTGGGTAGCATCTGGATGCAATCTTAAAAATACATTGCTATTGTTTGGCTACAGCTGGAGGAAATATAGGAAATGCATTACTAATCTTTTTATTTTTATTGCTTGAATAGTGCTTTGACCACTCAATTTAAATTTCTTAGGCTTAGAAGATATTAATTTGGCATAATGATTCATAAATTATTCGTTATTATAATTGGCAAAACTAACTCCTAATAACCAATGTTGTCATATTCGCTTCAGAGTCTTTTTCGGTTTGGTGCGAAAAATAAAGGATTTGGTGCTTCGGCCGATTCACAGGAAGAATTCAGACTTTTTTTAATTTAATATAAATAAATTAGATATTTATATATAAAATATATAAAAATAGTGAAAAAATTAAAAATAAACACTTCAAAGAAAATCTTTTATATAGATATTTCTAAGCAGATCCAAATCTGACCAAAGCTGCCCGAATCTGACAGAAGCACAACACCAGGCTTCACTTCGCTTCGGTCTAGGCTTAAAATCCAAAAGCTTCGGCCTCTTTGGCCTAAGCGAATTAAATTTGATAACACTGCTGCAACATAAAAGAAAAAAATAAAAGATATTAGCGTCCATTAAACTTGCATTTCACATATATTAAAATATGCGAGAATGCCTTTGAAAGAAATAGGGTTTCAAATGTCTTCAAGAAAAAAATAAAAAAATAAAGGGGAAATATCATCGTACCTTTTATTTTTTGGTTTTCATATATCAATAGACCCAAATATTCAAAATATATCTCCTAACCCTGTAACTAACTTTATCCACTTATAATTATTTTTTTAGCCATAACAAATATAAAAAAAACATGCTCATGCTAAACCCTTCATTTTTTTACATGATATATTCCCTACAAATTTCTCTTTATCTAACATTCACCTTCTTTGTCTCTCTAATGGGGAAGAGAGAGAGACACGGGGGGAGAGAGTGGGAAAATAGGTAGAGAGAGAGAGATTTAGGGAAAAATTATGTGAAGAGCGATAAATGATGGTGTTTAGAAAACATATGTTTTTTTTATATTTGTTTGGAGCAAAAAAATAAATTTAAAGGGCATAAAGTTAGGGGTTAAAAAATATAAAACTTACAATTTTTATGACCAGTTTTGAAACCTTTGTCTATTGAGATATAAAACTTAAAAATGGGGGGTACTAAGATATCTTACCAAAAATAAAACCTTAGAGTATGTAAAAATGGATCATTTGCAAGAATGAACTTGCCTTACAAGAATAGAACTCCTTTTCAATGGAGTTCAAATGACTTTCAATGGGTTTAATAGATGCAAAATCAGCAGAAACAACAACTGCAACTAGGTGGATGCTTCCTCTCTAGTGGCGGTGGCAGCTACAACATGCAACAAGGTGGATGCTTCCTCTCTAGTGGCGGTGGCAGCTACAACATGCAACAAGGTGGATGCTTCCTCTCTAGTGGCGATGGCAGCTACAACAGGGAAGTGGTAGAGGCTGCTACTGCTCCTCGACTGCGTGGTGGCGGTGGATGCTTAAGTTGCTAAGCAAAGGTGAAGTTGGCTATGGTAGTGGATGGCTTGGGCAGCAGTGGATCTGTTGGTAGCCACAATAAAACCATAGCAAAGCAACTTTTCCCGCCCAGGATAAATGCTGCTGAGTAGTCTAGGGCGACTCCTATCTTACTGTCTCATGGCATGGAAAGATTGGGATGGAGTGGGAATGCTTGAGATTGGACAGAGGGAAGTGACAAAAATATAGGTAAGGGGGAGAGAGAGACTGCTATCAGGCGTAGAGTGAGAGAGTTTTATTGAGTAAAGAAGGGAATATTGAAAGGGGTAGTTCAGTATTTAAATATTAACTTATGGAAAAAGTTTATCTAAGGATGCCCCTAAAAATTTATCAAAAAAGGTAGTTTTAATGTTGAAAAACCCTTTGATTGATTATCTCGCCATCAAAACATATGACTATGAAAAATAAAAAGATTTTAAGTCTCAAAAATATTGTGTATTTTACAACATATTATCTACACCATCCATTTTCAAGATTGTCATATGTTTATAGATCTATTTGATTTTAATCATTTTTAAAATTTAAAATTTTATAATTAAATATAAAAATAGATTTTGAGATAATCCTAATAACATTTTACATCAAAATTATATACCATGATCAAATTTGAAGGTGCATATGCATCCTTATGCAAACTGCACCCTTAACTTATTGGCCGGGTAAAAGTAAGTAAAAACAGTAATTGAGATAATAGTGTGATACTAACATATTTGACATGCATAAAAAAGAATGTTTTTTTAACCTCAAAAAACTTCCTCATGAGTATGCGAATAATGAAGTCCCACACCACAAATTGGTACATGGAGTTTTTCCGCATAAAAATACTTTGATCTTTGCCCATGTCTCTCTCTGATTTGAACCCTCCCAATCCTCTCTCTCTCTCGATGCCCTTCGCGCTTGGAGGAACTTCAATCATCTACAGGAACCTCGAAACTTCTTCCGCACAGATGAGAGAGATTGAGCCTCGAGCAAGCAAACAGGAAGAGTCATCCATGGAAGATCCTGAAGCGTCGTCAAGTGACACTGCTCCTCCCAATTTCGACGAAGAAGTCGTCGCTCGCTTAGAAGAAGCAGCGTCTCTTTGCTCTAAGGTTTGGCACTTGGCTCCCAGAAATTCCAGGGTTTCCATTCCACCTTCAAATCTACTGTGAAACTAAATTGTTTATAAACAGGCTCTGGTGAGTTATGACTCTCTGCAATGTGAGAAGGCCATCGATGTCTTTGTCAATTTGCTTGAAGGCGTCTCTGAAGCTGCCATTGCTAATCCAGAGAACCTTTCGCTAAAGGACCGCGCTTATGAGTGTCTCGATTTTACTTATCGAATTCTCTCTCCTCCATATTCAAACCAGGTTGGTTCCACTTTACTGTCACTGCCATTGTTTTCTTCAATTTTCGTGGTCCATAGATACAATGAGACTTGTATTGGAAGTTTTTTTTTTTTTTTCTGGTGATGGTGGAGGTTTGTTATTCTCTCATTGTTTCTATTTCCTTTGTTCATTTTGTGGGACTTTAATTATAATTGCTTTGTTAGATAATATTCGATGCATAATGTTCCCTTCCATGGTCTTGTTCCATGTGCTCATTTGATGTGACTTTTATCGTTATCGCTTGTTTGCAGATAATAGTGGGTGGTAATTTCTTTCATGTCATCCGTAGGTTTAATGAGACTTATATTACACTATAGTTGTTAATGCAGATGATAATGGATGCTTATTATTCTCTTTCATTGGGATGGTTAACCTGCTGATTAGTTAAAAATTTTATTGTGATTGCTTTTTGGGATAATATTGGATGCTTATTATTCTCTTTCATTGTCCTGGTTCAACTGTTGATTTAATGGAATGTGTACTGTAATTGTTTTTCGAGGTGATAATGGATGCTTGTTTCATGATCGTGGTTCATACATTTATTTAATGAGGTTGTCTTCTCAGATCATAATGAATATTTATTGTTCTCTTTGGTGGCCGTCGTTTATTGATTTAGTGAAATTGTATTATTATGGTTTTCTGAATGATTATGGATGCTTATTGTTCTCTTTGATGCCCTGTTTCATCTGTTGATTCAATAAGTATTATACTGATTTTTAAAATGATAGTGGATGCTTATTATTCTCTCCCACAGTTCTGTTTCATATGTCGAATGAGACTTGTTTCTTGATTACTTTTTCAGATTCTTGTGGATGCTCTTTCTTTAGAGCTGCCAAAGGCAGTTGCCAAGTTTGCTGGTATTTCTGAGAAATGCTTAGAGGTTGCGGAACATATAACTGATTACCTTTGCATGGCTTGTAACCCAAGGGACATGCTTTCCATTCTATGTGAGGTATTGTTAGTAATTGGAAATAGCTTTTTTCTATTTAGGCAGTGGAATTCACGTGGAAGTTGGACTCGTTGGCTTTTTTTGACTTCATATCTATTGTGAGATTTCTGAAATTTTTGTTTGTTCTGACATTACTGACGATTGTACTTTGAAGAACTTATTCTCATATAGTTAGCAATTTCTCAATAGATGGTCACACCTTATCATTTGGTAACACAAATGCTAGTTTGTATTGTGATTTTGATATTCAGACCCCTATGTATGTTGGACTAAGAGGATAACATTTTCAAATAAATATGAAGACAAAGACAATTCTTACAGTACAAAGTTACAACAGTATGACGACAGAAATATCTTATTTGTACATCAATAAAAATAATACACTTGCATAACCCATAATATGTCATCATCAACATCAGAGCCTTTTTCCAACTATTTGGGGTAGGCTACATGAATCTTGGTCCGCCATTCTTCTTGTCAAGGGCTATATCCTCAATGAGGCCATAGATCCCCATATCTTTACTCAATACTTCTAACCATATCCTTTTGGGCCCATCCCTTACTCTTTGAGCATTCCGCTTGAACTAACTCGCACCTCCTAGTAGATGCTGTACTGGGTTTGCTCACATGGCCAGCCTACTAAGTTTACTTTTTCTCATTTTATTGCCTATTAGAGCCACACCTAAGTTCTCCCAAATATATTCATATCTAAGTCTATCCCTTCTTGTCTTGCCACTCATCCATCTCAACATCCTCATCTCATCTACACTTATAATATAGGTACGTTATTTTTGATTGCCAAATATTCCGCCCCATAAAACAAAGCAGGTCTCACAGTCGTACTATAGAACTTCCCCTTCAGCTTCATTAGTATGTGGGTATCACATAAAACTCCGGTTGCATATCTCCACTTCGCCACGCAACTCTAATTCTATGTGCGACATCTTCCTCAATCTCTTCATTTCCGTGGATTATCGACTCAAGATATTGAAAATACGCCCTTTTTGGTATTTCTTGACCGTCAATCTTAACTACTTCTGCGTTTCTACTCGTATTATTACTAAACTTGCATTTCATTACTTTATCTTAGTTCGACTAATTTTAAAACCTTTAGATTCTATAACATTCCTCCAAAGTTCTTATTTTCTATTGACGGCTCTTTGGGTCTCATTGATCAAAATTATGTCGTCCGCGAACAACATACACCATCGTATCTCATCTTGTAGGTACCTAGTTAAGTCGTCCATAACTAAGACAAAGAGGTATGGGCTCCCTCAAACTGGAACATCTATCATATAAGTAAAAATTTGCTCACTTCAACTTATGTTTGATCCAATTTTTGGATGCTGCCTTGGAGTTTGGTCAACATGTAATCGGCCTTCCACCTAAAGCTGTTGATTCATAAGTTGGATGAAAACTGGTATTTTCAGCTTTCATTCAACCCACAAAGCAGCAGAATTTATGGGTAGACACACCCCAACTTTAATAATGAAATGGTACCCAGAAGTTTCATTTTAAACCTAAATGGGTTGTCACCCTAATCAGCTCCGAATATGGTTTGATGCCTCATCCAGATCAGGCCTTGGCAGCTTGGACAAATCTGCAACCTGTTCTGATGAAGGACCAGGTGAGTGTGATATCAAATAAGCTTTTATTGAATAAAAAGACTTTTTATTTTGATGTATTTTGTTCCATCATGGAATAATCGATTTCTGATCCAATTTTTATTGCAGTGAGATGATCTCCGCGATAAGGTATCGGGGATGTAATGTCAAGTATGTTGTAGGACTTAACCAGATAAGCTCACCAGTGGCAAAAGACGTAACCCTATACTTATCGTAGAACTAGATATGGAACTACCCCTTGCTTCCTATTGTCCAAGAAGAAGGGAGTCTTTTACAAACATTGAATTTCTTAGAATACTATGTGTGTAGTAGGAGACAACATGTCCAATCTAAGTCAACATAAATGAACTGAAGTTTTGTTAAACAAATCAAAATAACCTCCATCTAGGAGTTGATAGGATATATTCAATGATTGATGGTCTGTTGCCGAATATTTATCCTGCGCAACTGAACAAACTGACTAGTTGACTGCAAGCATGAATATATTTGTATTGATGATAGTTCAATTAAACGATCAATTCGTTATCCATGAGTAGTAGCATCTGAAAGAAAGAAGGAGATAAAGGTTATGCATGAGTAGAGAAGGAGACCAGCTTAATCTGCAGCGTATCATCCAAGTCTAATCATAGTGCACTTGGACGTCCTTATTATCTTATATAGATTGTCAACAATATATATTGTTAACAATACAAATATGCCAATGGCAATTACAAATATTAGATACGAGTACAAAATGAATAGGACCAACATAAATATCTTATTTACAAGTCTATCTTTGCATGCCATATCCTTACTACAACTCCTCAAGCTGTACATTGGCAACACTCAAGGATGGCATGCCATTTTGAAGTCTATATTTTTGCTTGGTCAGCCCTTCTGTAAAAATGCACGCCATTTTTTCATTGGTCCCGACAAACTTTGCAACTATGCTTTGTCTTCAATTTTCTAACTCACAAAGCGTTGATCTATCTGAATTTATTTGTTCTTTCCATGAAGCACTGGTTTTAATGAATTGGCTGTACTGCTATCGCACTTTAATTGTCATAGTGTATGACACTAATGCACAATTTAGGATCAAGAACCATATCATGTCTCCTTATCCATGCAATTTCAGAGGTGATTGCTTCCGTTGCATATGTTCATCTTCTATGATCTTGCCACTATCCCTTGCTTCTTGGTACACCAGGATGCCAAGTTGCTACTCATAAATGCACAACAACCTTTGACTAATCTCCTGGTACTTGAGTCCCCAACCCAGTCTGCATCTGAAAAGGTTACACTCTTACAGGATTCATATCCTTACGATTATTTTTGAAGTAAATTATCTCATCATTTGTAGTGCCTTTATGACCTCAATATCTTCTCTGAATGATCTCTTCTTGGATTATGTATTTATTGGCTTATGCATAGAATATGTTGGGTCTTGCAAAGGTTAGATACTGTAACGCACCACCTGTACCTCTGTATTCTACTAGATTTAAAATAAATTCACCAAAACTTTTATAATCTCTTAAACTCCTGTTCAAAACACAGCAGGTGAAGGGGCTGGTTGTGCTGCCTAAGTATCATCTTGTCTTTCTTTCTTTCAACTTATGTGCCTGGAAACGTTTTATCTTCCCTAGATCATTCATTTGAAGTGCAGTAGAGAGGACTTCTTCCATGTGATTCAGCTTTTTCATTTAGTTTCCCAAGAGTATAATATCATCTCTATATAAATTAATAGAGTGGTCATATCTCTTCCATCATGCTGAATAAACAAGGAGTGGTTCCATTGATTTCTCTGAATGCCTATCTCCTTAATGCCTTACAAAAGTTGTTAAACCAAGCTTGTGGTACTTGCTTTAACCCATATATCGCCCAGTTTAATTTGCACACCATGAGTTTTGGGTCTCTTGCACTCTATCTATATGGTTGGCAATTGGGTCTGGTCGATCCACCGACCCAATACGAGTCTGGGTGTGGATCCAAGTATTGTTCCAGGTGGGTCGACCTTGGTTAGGGTCTAAGTCTATCGTAGACCCTATGGGGTGGGTTGGGTCTAGGTCAAGGTTGACCCGATCAGCCGACCCAATATTTTCCTGTAATATATACGAAAGCATGCAACATTGTTTATGTATTAAAAAGTATTTATAAATGAAAGTAATTTTTTTTTTCTTTTATCAAATCCCTGGACTCGACATGGGTCAAGCTTGGGTCTGGGACCAGCTAGGAGACAGTTGGGTCGCGTACGGGTGACCTGACCTGGTTCGACCCATGAACACTAGTAACTATATATCCCATTAACCACTCCATATATAGTTCTTCTTCTAGATCCCTATTTCAAAATGCATTCTTGATGTGCAAGAGAACATACCCATTTTCACAATATGACTAAATGGTTCATCATAATCTAGTCCATATTCTTGATTATATCCTTTTGCAACTGGCCTCGCTTTGAACCACATAATTGAACCATCTACGTTACACTTTGTTTCATACATGCATTTGGACCCTACAAGAATCTTTCTTTGGGTCTTGGGACTGTTCGGTGTAACGCCGGTCTTAATGTACACAAATACTTAAACATTTCACTCAAGACACATGAATGCACATATTACGTACACATTCATAAACAAATTTGCAGCTGATATGGGCTGTTACACGCACTTAAAACTCAATTACAAGATTTGAAAAATACATCAAATTCACCTCATTATGGCCTCAACTCAATTGAAATAACACCAAGAGATAACTTGAATACATGACAATTTATACTCGGTCAAAATTTCAGCCACATAACCTTGTGCAACAATTACATCCAACTCTTTGAGACTTACATAAACTTAAACAAAAGCTGTCTCTTGCGATTATAACTCAAAGTGCAATGGAGTTTGAGTCCTTCTCATTTTAGTTGTTGTATATAATGCTTGTACTGGTCCTTTATGACCTAATTTTGATCTCACGTTTGGTACATTTTGAGGGGTGCTGTGATACCAACTATATTTACTTGTAAGGGTCCTCGAAGGCCTATCTTGGTTAGTGCACATAACGGATTTTGGGGGGTACTTCGACACTGTTCTTGTACATAGCTCCCAGCCTATGGCAGCCATTTTTTGAATGTAATACTTTATTTATTATTTCAATAGAGTCAAATAATTCCTCTAAGAAAAAATTTAAGTAGAATGTAAACCAAGGATCATGGACAATAGGAAGCTGATCTTACCTTAAGGAGGCATGGGGTCACCTCCGCAGGACTTCATACTCCTCATGCTCAATGCCCGTCCTTGACAGAGCAGGTACAAGGGTGAAGCCAACCAACCCAAAACTCCTTAAGACACAAGAGGGAACTGATTTAGTGTGTTGGATGTGTTGTAGAGATCCTTAGTTGTGGTGTGTGGA